TAGGCATTGTGTTTTGAAGAAATGATGGACTGAATTTGATGATGGCTTAGATGTAGGAGGTACATTTAGCAAATATTTATTAATGACCTACTGTGTGTCAGTTAAAATTGGGAGCAGATGAGACATGGTCCCTGCCTTCATGGAATTTACTGTTTACCACAGGGAACATATATTTGTCAATAATGCCTCAATCATGGGACTGGAAATTATGGTAAATGCCATGAAAAGGAAGTTCAGAGACCTTTGACTGCTCACAACTTCGGGGATTTGATTGGTGAGGGAACGTCCTGAAGTTGTTCCACTAGCACTTAATTACCCCCACATTTCTAGGGAGTGGATATTTGTTGATTCTTTTAACTTCGCAAAAAATATTTCCTTTAGAAACCAAGGCTCTAAAAAAATTTTTAAATGCTTGGCTAATCAGGGGAATAGTGCTTTTAGATGGCTGGTACCATGATTTGTGGTTGGAAAAACAAGAGTATTTGGTTACATTGAGCTTCAAACTTTTCCTTTGATTAATGAAAATCTTCCTGGCAAATACTTTTTAATGGGCTCTTTTTTTACTTGGTCCAAGAGAGTCCACTCTCTGACCTCAATATGAATGCCTTCTGACATCTCTCTTAATCATATCGAATATGTAATATCAGTGGGGCATCCATTTGGAAATATTTAGTTGTCAAACTGGTGTAATAAAAATGGAACTAAATCTAACCAGTTGAGTTTCTAGTTTCCATAGGTGCGGTGGTGGTGTCTTTTGTTATTTGATGTCTCCAGCTTCTGCCATTCTTTTTCCTGCCATTACTTTACTCCATTCCTTAGTCACTTGTGCGCCTCAAAGTTGCAATGTGTTAAGTCACTGTTGCAGTGCATCCCTCCATGTCTCATTCAAGCTTCTGCCCTACTTCTTTTCAGAGAATCTTTAAAAGTATCTGTAGGGCTAAAGAACATCTAATCTCTTAATACATAGCCTAACAGACTGGTCAACTTCTTATCCATGTCTTAGGAGGAAGTGTCCAGGATGAGAAACTCACTAAATTTGGTGACAATTTAGTGAGAATAGGAGACAAGTTTTACAAAAAGGGAGGCGTTTTAGCAATTTGGCAAAAGAGTTAGTTAAATCTTCACATAGGATAAAGGGAGAGGGCATTTTTATCCAAATGGATAAAAAGGCTTTTATCCAAAGCCTCTTATTAGGAAGGCAGAACCTGAAGACATTTAGAACATGAAAAGTAGTTAGTGAGAGTAGTTAATGTTGGTCCTGTGGAAATACGGAGAAGCCAAAGGGCCTCTGAGGCAGAGGGAAGGAAGAAAGATTGCCCTAAATGTAATGTAAGCACTTCCTACTAGAGAGGTGTGAGGCTAAAGGTTCCGGGTCTATGACAGCTGCAGTCAGGCAAGGCCAGGCAGAGGACAGCTGGAAGAGGTGAGTCCGGGACCTGTAAGTAGGCTTATCCCTGGGGACTGGTCTAACCTTGGGTTGGTGCCTGAGCCACCCTTGTGTGTTGGTCTGAGTCCAGACATGGGCACCTCCCTCTCTGATCCTTTCCACTGCAGAAAACAGGGCCAAGTGAGTCTGCATCCTGAGGACACGGATCTCTATCTGGATGCAGCTGTGCCAAGTGAGCTTGGCTTGACTCTCAAGACAGCCTTGAGCATCGCATTTCAAGGTGCCACAGGGCTTTGCAACCCATGAGATGATCTCGCTTGCCTTTTTGCTTGATCTGGATTACATTCGTTTTTATGCATCCCTGGTCTGGGAGTCTTCATCGAGCAGGGCTGAGCCAAAATGATTGCTGACAATGTTATATATGTGAACTTCCCATCTGGATAAAAAAGTTGCTTTATGGAGAGGAAACATGGCCTGTATAATTTCCCCGCTCTTCTCGGAAGCTTTCTGATTTTATGTCCTATGTCTACAGTAGACTTTCAGTATTCCAGGGCCATCCCAAAGGTAAAGTGTGGATGAAAGGCATTTTGCTGACAGCATGCAACTCTGCTAGATCTGGGGAAAATGGGCTTTTGCTCTTACATCTTTTACCCATATTCTTAAAATCAGTATTTGCATATCCTATTTATATTGTTTTGAAAATTGTTATATTATTGACTCAGTCATTGATTAATTCGTTTGATATCAATATTTATTGAGTTCCTATTCTGGAAGAGGCTCTGTGCTATAAACACTCAGCGTTCCAAAGATAAGACACAAGGAACTTAGTGGACAGCAGTGAAGACGAGAATGTACAATTGAAGGAGTGATAATGTAGTAAGTAGCAGAAGAGAAGTAAAGAAAAACCTGCTATCGAGTTCAGAACAGGGATACGTTATTTCCAGCGTGTGGGGATTAAGAGTGGCTGATAAGAGAGGAATTCATGCATGGATGATGCTAAGTGATATAAACCAAAAAAAGACAAAACTATATGATTCTACTTATATGAAGTATCCAGAGTACGAATGCATAGAGACAGAAGGTAGAATGGTGTTTGCCGGGGGCTGGGGGGGAGAAGAAATGAGGAGTTGTTGCTTAATGGGTAAAGAGTTTCAGTTTTGTGAGATGGAAAATTTCTGGAGATTGGTTGTACAGCAGTGTGAATATACTTATCACTGAACTGTACACTTAAAAACAGTTAAGGTAACAGATTTTATATTATGTTTACCTTGCCACAATTTTTAAAAAATACGGTATTTTATTATGCAGGGATGGGTGGAGGATACTTGACACCTTGGAACTTTTGCCCATGCACATACTATTCACTCACTCACTCATTCATCCATTCATTCATTCAACAAACATGTATTGGATGCTTGCTATGTGTTAGGTGCTGAGTTGCTTCCCGAGGGTCAACACTAATGTTTATAAGACACTGAATCTGTCAATGTCATGCTTGCTCACCACCCCTTCCCTCCCCAGGTGCTAAGCTTCTGTAGTGAAATCTTCACAGCTGCTACCTGCTGACTTGAATCACGCATGAGACATTAGTAAACAAACAGTAGAAAGATTTGAGGTTATTTGGGGGGGCGTTGACGGCATGGTGACGAAATGGAAGGAGATGGGTAACAGAATATGAACTAGGATTGAAAACTGAGGCAGCTCTCTCCAAGGATATTAAAAAAAATAAAGATCTCCTGTTTATGGCTGCCAACCTAAGAGCTAAGTCATTTAGAATGGAACAAACTGGCAAAGTCAGACGCACTCAACCCAAGGAGCTCCTCATTTTGTGAATATTACGGCAAATGTAGTTTGAGAGCCACTGCCGCAAAATTGTGGGCGACGTTAATGAGTGAGAAGGGCAGGGCAGGGTTGTACAATTTGAGCTAAAAGGAAAGGCAGGCTTGTGAAGGGGAGGAGTGGTGGCAGTCAGGGTGGTCTGGTTATTTGGGCGGGAGTGGAAAGCAGGAAGCATGCGCTTCCTTAACCGAGAGACCCTGGCAGCTCTATCTTCAGTTCACTTTTCCTCATCTTATTTTGTTTTTGTTTTTAAATGTCATAGGCTTCATTCCATCTTTCCTTCCAATATTTTTCTACTTCTTTTTTTTCCCCCTTATGTAACCTGGAACAGTCCATTCATTTCAAGGTATTATTGAGTGCCAACTACATTCCAGGCACTGTGCTGGGCTCTGGCTATATACTCCCCAATTCTCTCATACCACCTTTATTCTGTTGCACATGCCTAGCAAATCCTGGGTCAATGTCATTTCTGCTCCTATACGTGGTTAGATGAGACATGCAAACTTAGTCTCATCTACTCCTTTCCTTACCTCTTTGCTCCCTGTCTTCTTCAAGGTGTCTTCAGTGAGGCTGTTCCTTCTACCTGTGTATTTAATCCCAAACTGCTTTACTTTCCTTCTTGACTTTGTTCTGTTTTCCCTTCTCCGTACCTTCCACCATTCCCTCCCTACTGGCCCATTCCCTTCAGTCTCCATGAGGGCTTCTCAGGCCCCTTCCATTCAAAAAACGCCTTTTTGTCTTTATATTCTTTAGTGACAGCCCTATCTCTTTCTCTTCCCATTCACGTCCAAGTTCTCAGAGGAATGGCCTTCACTCATTGTCATTTCCTTACGTTCCGTCCACTCTCCACCCACTGGATTGGCTTGTACCCGCTACTGAAACTCCTTGCTAAGTGTCCTCCTTGTCAAATCCAACTTCATTTTATCAGTCCTGGTTTTATTGGACTTTTCTGCTCCTTTGACACGATTGGTCACACTCTCCTTCTTAAAGCTTTCTACTTCTTTAAACTTTTTTGCTTCCCCATTTCCTTGGCTCTCCCAGAACTTTCTGACTGTGCCTTCTCAGTTTCCTTTCTGAGATACGCTTCCTCCCTGAAAATTTTCAAGGTTGGTGCAATCATTTGTGTTCCTCTGTTCTTCTCATTCGACATGTTCTAGAAGAGGAATATTGAATATTGACTCTGCTACCCTCAAATTGCAGTCAAGTCATAACCACTGATGCCCGGGGTTACCTTGTAACAATGATATAAAAATTTGAATTATCTTTCTATACATGTTCTATGTTGTTCATCAGTTCATCTGGCTTTCAAATGTTCCAGCTGTTTTATGCTTTGTCTCCATTTTCTAAAGGCCCTTAGTGTGGTCTAGAATTGGAATGAGCATTGGTCTCTAATGGTTCTGGGTTAATTGAGAATCCCTAAAAGAATGATTAAGGCTATTAGAAACCAGCTAATTTCATTTTGTCATTTTCTGGATAATATATTCTGGTGTAGGAAGTCCATTTTTTAAGAAAGTTTGCAATAAACAATTTCCCCTCAAGGTTAATATAATAGGCAGACCCCTTTTGCTGCAACAGACGGCAAGAGGTGATGAAAGATTAGCTTACATTATGATTCATTATTTCAAAATGTCAGAATAAAGTGGATCTGCTACATCTTCCAAGCCTCTTATTCTTTAGAGGAGGGTGCATGTTTTGCTTTTCTAATGTTAATGGATTCACTGTTTTTTTTTTTTGTTTTGTTTTTTTGTTTTTTTTCTCCTATTTTTTTCCCCAGGCCAAATTCAGATAATCGGCGCCAGGGTGGCAGAGAGAGATTGGCCAGCGCCAGTGACAAGGGAAGCATGGCCATGGAATCTGCCAAGGAGACTCGCTACTGTGCAGTGTGCAATGACTATGCCTCAGGCTACCATTATGGAGTTTGGTCTTGCGAGGGCTGTAAGGCTTTCTTCAAGAGAAGTATTCAAGGTAATAGTGTGTTGCAAACAACTTATCCCATTTTTTAATCCTAAGAGGGGAAGCAACAGAGGAAGGCATGTGATCAGCCATTTGTACAAAACACTAATACCTAGTAGGTCCACTAGTATCTATGGTAGAGACGTGGAGAAGAGACAAGATCCCAGGAGAAGGAATTGGCCAATGTCAGGGCAGCTGTGGCTGAGTCATTATGCTTCCTCCATTTGGCAAGATCCCAACAGTCTTAAGCAACTCTAGAGGAAGAGGATTTCAATAGCTGTGTCTCTGAGATGTTGTCCATGCCACGATTGGGGGATGGCAGGTGGATATTTATGTGTTGCAGGCAACTAGGCTTATGTGATGTAGTGTGATATTAATTCTCCATATATAATTAGTTCTCCAGCTTAGCTTTGCGCAGATAAGCATTCTGATCTTTGCTCCAGACCAATTCTAATTTAGCTCGTTCTTCTCTTGCTCTTCTTCCATCTCTTTGTTGTCTCAATGGCTGACATGACCTTTTGCTAAACTGAGAAGATTCAACGGCTGGTGACTTGTAATAAGGGGTGTATTATCTGTATCAAGCACTTATTAAGTATACACCCGTAAGACTTCATTCATGTCATTTGCAATGTCTGCTTCAATCCTTTTCTTTCATACAGTTTTCCAAGTGCAGCTTCTCTGATAGACTGCCAGCTACATTTCATTTCTACTCCAGGAGTGTCTATATTGTTGCTATATTGTCCATATAGGATATACTGGGAGAAACAATCATTTTTCCTACGTAAAATATCTATGCTAAAGATCCTTTGACAAAAACAGAGATCTGACAGCAGTTTAAACTAGCTGGATTAACCTTTGTTTTAATACTGGACCATTTTTCTCTGTTCTTATTCCTTTATCTTTTCAGCTTAAACAAAGTTTAGTATATAAATACTAAGAATACTTCTGATGGAGTTTTTGTGTGATTCCCTCTATGGAAATTGAGACTGAAGTAACTTGTTGAAAACCAGAGTCTACTAAATTAATAGGTACTGATTGCAGACACTTTTGAATAGAGAATGAATCACTATTCTCATGGACTTTTTGCTGTAGCTTTTCACTGCCCTGATGTGGGGTGAAAGCTGGGGGATGATACACACTATTCATTTTTCCTTTCATTGCCAGTGGATGGATTTTTTTAAAGGCTATTCATATCTTAATAGAGTAGCATGTGAGGTCAACTTGGTCCACTTTAAAAGCACTTTTTTTTTGACAACTATTACTTTCACCATCTTTTAGAAATCTCTTGTAAGACTGGGACTTTTTATTAGAATTTTAATAAAATTTACAATATTATATGATAGTGGATTTTTGTATATAGGTACATACCAACACAGATTATTGAATTTTACTAGCAGATATTAATACTATCTTAATTTAGAAAAGTGATATTTGTATTTTGGTTTAAGTTAGTATAAGCCCTTAACGGTCTTTTGACAGCCATCTTCATTTGTGATTCTTCTTTTCATTTAGTTTTATATAATCTAAGATACCATTATTTTTATCAAGCATTTAATCTGGTATGGAAAAAATCATCTGACAGAGGTAGATTTAGTGGGTAGGTTCAGCTACAAACTTGGACAAGTCATTTATCTGAGACTGAGTTCCCTCATCTGTAAAAAATGATTTAGAGCAGGGGTCAGCAGTTTTTCTGCAAAGGACCAGAGAGTAACTAGTTAGGCTTTGCAGGCCATGCAGTCTCTGTGACAGCTACTCACTCTGGCACTGTGGCCTGCAAGGAGCCATCGGTACTGTGCAAATAAATGGGTGTGTGCCAATAAAACTTTATATACACAAACAGGTAACTGACCAGGACTGGCCTGTGGGCCATAATTTGCTGACTCCCAATTTAATGTACGACAAGAGAATCGATGGTTTCCAAATCTAACGTTTTGTCTTTCATGTTTATTGAGAACTTACTCTGTACCTGTGCTAGATAGTCTGAGGGAAATAAAAATATGTGTAAGAAGTAATCCATAATCCCACAAAATTTAGAATTTGTTTGGGAAATTTATTTGGGGAGGCAAAGGTACACGTTCTCATGATAGGATTAGAGGGTAAATTCGTATAAAGTGCTGTGCTATGATACAGATAGGGAAGACAATAGATGAATATAAGAAAAGAAGATATTGTCAGTTATAAAGGTAAAAAGACTGAGATTGAAGGTAGAAACTATCTTCCTCCAAGGAACAATGACAATATTGTCACAAATTATTTTCTTCACGTGTGTTCAGCATTTAGGAGTGTGCTATGTAACACCACATTGAACTTAGTATTGTCTCTAGGCGTTAAGGCATCGGAACAGAAAACACAGGAAAAAAATACTTAAAAAATTAAATGAAGTAAATGTAAGTGTATAAAAAGAAATATTTTGTTGGTATGGCTTTATCTCAAGTTCAAATATTCAAAAAAATGTTTGCTTACTCTTTGATTGTTAAAATATGTATCTGATATCTAACTTGTATGTACAGACCAAATAGTAGGATTTCATTATACTATCTAAAGTTGTACATATAAATTGCTTACAAATGCAATTTCTATGTGGCTTCAGAAACTTCTTACTTATCATGGTATGAAGACATTTATGGAAGGTTTCTTAAATGAGATGACTATTGAGTCCAAAGTTCTGCAGGAAGCCTGGAAACAAGGCAGAGTTATTAACTTTTAAAGATAGAGAGGAGCCTTAAAAATTATAAAGTTCACTAATTTATTAATTTGTTCATTGAATGCCTCTACTAAGCAAAGCACTGTGTGAGGTCCTGGAGATACAATTACAGTAAAGACATAGTCCTTACCCCCATAGAGCTTAAAGGTAGTAGGAGAGGTGGACAAATAAACCAGCAATTAAATTACAGTGTGATAAGTACCAAGATGAGGGTGAGTGCAGATTTTACAGGAGTCCAAACTTCACTTATTCCCGGTGGGGCTTGAGTCAGGCTCTCAGAGAAAGTTTCCTGATTTAAAATTGTCTGGAGAGTTTTGCAAGTGAGCAAAATGAAGGAGGGCAGGTTGAATGTTCAATCATATGAAAATGGGACTGAGTATGCGGGTAAAGCCCAGGAGGTAAGACAGAGTTTGGGGAGTTCTGTGAATAAAAATTAACAAAATTAGTACACCATCTAAGACATCCCTGGGCCGTATATTTCTTCTTAGACTGTGTAAAAACAAAGTAATTTATTTCCTTTTGACTTTAATGGCGTTTCCATCTATTTGATTTGTTTGCGTGTATAAAAGGAAAACAGCAGAGCAATAGAGTCTCTCTCATCGTAGTCTTGATAGCTTGGAACTAAATAGTTTTACTGAAATTCTGTGACTCTTTATAAATCACGCTGCCCCTCAAACCTATTTAAGGACAGTGAAGGGTCTGACATGCTGCAGGTAGAAAGTTCTGAAGATGCTGTAGCTCTTCCTGTTTTTCTTGTTGCTTAAGATGAGAGCTAGAAATGAGTATCCATCAGATTACTCTAGTGCTCTAAGTGTTTAGCTGAAGAGGTAAAGTGTTTGACTTGAAAGCATACAAATTTTCATCCCCTGCCTAGTATATGAACTTGATTACTCAAGAAATTGAATAAAGGCCTCCAGTTGAACATAACTTTTTTTTTTTAAAGTGAAGTCAAGGACATGATTTAAGGGAGATGGGTGAAATTGGATATTCTGTGAATTTATCAATCATTGTAGGTAGAGGAGCAGTGTTCATTAAGATGTGTTGTAGGCAGAGACTCTTGATGAGTTACATAAGCAGATTTGGTTATAGGTTCAG